AATCTACCCCCCTCCCATGTTCCTTCTGCCCCCACTCAGTGAGCGCTACATGGTTGCTGACATCTTCAGCTCTACCAGCTGATTACTGCTCCTTAGGTATATTTCTCTTTCCTTGGTAACAAACATTAATCCAACTAGTTTGTAGGAAAGCACCAACATAAACAGATGGCCTGAGTAGAGTACCTCTTCTTTCCAGTTTATAGAAAAGCTAACAGCAGCGTATGAGAAGTCCACTCACTCCTATACAAGATTTTCTAAAGGAGCATTATCAACTCTGAAGGAGGCACTAGTCAGTGCCTCATACTAGTCAGAATTCAGAGACCTCAGGTCTTCAGAAAACTCCAGGATGCTCTAGCACAACCATCATGCTGCAAACTGATGAGCATCCAGGGAATTATAAGCAGCAGTTAAAGTACTTATGATCAGGTCAGTTTATTTTGAGACTGGAGGCGGGGAGCGAGTAAGAGAGGAGCAATTGAGTAATTGAACGATTCCAAGAAAAAGCAGGAAAGCAGGCTTGCACAATGTGTAGCTAACAAAGCAAATTTTTCAGCCACTGGTGGCTCAGCAGTGGGTGCGCCACTGGCCTACTGGTAGAGACAGGAGAGCATTAAAATGCAGCATTTGAACTGCAAGTCTTCCCGCTGGTTACAGAAAGTGAGAACAAAGCAAAACATGAAGGGATGTAACAAGGACTGTCAAAACCTCTATTCAATCTCCTACTACTAAATGGCACAGAGTAGGGTTAGAAGATGGGCGGTGCTGGGTGTGATGGGAGCAGAAGCAGGAACCGTTGATAAGATCAGATGTCCATTTATACAGTGATTATTAGGAACCCATGACTGGGATGTCCCAGTATTACTGCAATAGTAGTAAAAGATGCAAACTTCAGATTTATAGGAAGTTTTAAATGATTGTCAGGGTTCACAACAGGGGAAAGAGAAACCTAGCAAAAAAATCTTGAAGCTGCCCCCTCCCTTGACCCCTCCTCATCCTCTGTGTGGGGAAGTAGGAAAAAAAACTTATCTGGGTGAAATTCAGGATTTCATTCCCTGACTTTGATGAGCAGGTTTATACCTCCACTGGCTATCTAATACAAGACAGGCAGGAAACAGAAATACATGCACATACAAGTTTGGTAACTGATAAGGGAAAGTTAAAAAAAGAAGAAAATACTGTTTCGGGAAGAGACTGAAGAAGAAAAACCTAGAAAATAACAGGAAGTAGAAAAAAGACACTACATCTCATGTATGCAAGTATGTGTCACCATCTGCTAGAGAGAAGAAGGAAGCAGCGTCTGGAAAGAAAGAGACTAGGAGAACAAAAGCAAGGAATGCAGTAAGTCAAGACTTCTGAGATGAGTAAATAGTTAGCCATTCTCTTATACCTGCTGCTGTACCGTTCAGAGACCTCACAGGTCTGTGGCTGGTTTGTATTTACTGCGATATAGACACCTTTCAGGGTGGAGAGTAATCTACCAGTCAGGTCTAAGCAGAGCCACATCAGTTGAAGTAGATTGGTCCTAAGTAGCCCAGTTAGTCTAGAGAAAACCCAGGGACTTTCAAATGTAAAATCTCAGTTTCTCAGACTTAAGCTCTTACCTTATTTCATGTCATTTACCTTAAGAGACCAGTCCTATTGAATGGAAATCAGTTTAAAACTGATTCAATTTAAACAATGTACTTTTTCCCTAATAGTTTTACAGGCTAGGAGATGCAGGGTATACACCACCTTTATATGTACTGCTTCTAGACACTTTGCAGAAGTGATGGCAAATTCAATGCCAACACCACCAACAAGTGTACAAGTTTAGCCTTAAATGAATTAAACGATAATCTAGGTATCATCTCTTCAATTTTATCTACAACTGTTTTTCCGCAACACCAAAAACAATTAGCCTTGATCAACAGCATCATTAAAACCTTTCATCGATAATCCATTCATTTCTATAAAGGTACCCAGCTTCTAGTTAAACCACAGAGAATAAATCGGATTTCGTAGGTATGTGTAGTTAGCAAAACATTTTTGAAGACTCAGTAATAGAAAGAGGGTAGGAATTTCAGCACACTGTGGAGCGGACTTATGATTCATTCCCTCTTATAGGATATGCTTGTTTACAGAGCTTGAACTAGATCTGGTAAAGGTTAAAGATTCAATAAGAGCTCCTGTGACTCTTGTGACATAATGCCAACACTCGCACAACCTTCCAAAACAAAGCCAGTTTTCTAAGACAACACTGCTGTGAATCCAACAACAATATTTTAAATAACTGGCTACAAGTGGTTTGGGTTTGTTTTTTTTTTTATTTAAAGGTCTGTCATGGTTTAAGCTGAACCCAGGAGAAGGTCTAATAAAAGAACATTAAAGTTAGGCTTAAAAAACAAAGAACAAAAGAATATGCTCTTAGAATTGTGAAAAGAAAATCCCCTTCTCCTCACAGTTATAACACTGCACATCTGATTTCTCACTAAATGATTTTTTAAGGGAACAGACTCCTAGATGTCACCACCCCAGATCTCCTTAGCACAGCTACATCACTGACATATTTATGAGCAAAGCCCAATTCTAGCAGGTTCCCAGCTGCATCAGGTGCCATACCAAACTGCAGTCATTTAATACTGTGCCAACCCATCACCTTGTGCAGCTAGCATACATTGGTAGTATTTTAGGGAGCACACAGGAATCCCCAAGGGCTGGAATTCTTTTGCTGGTTCAGATGCTGGGGAATTACAAACCTCCAGTGACACTGCAAATTGGTTTATTTAGCACCTTCAGTAAAATGGTACCCTAACTTCTCCACACACCAACTATGCAAACCACAGCATTGCAACATATGCACACATGAGTAGTAAAGTTATTCTGTAAGAGCTCAGTTGGTCAACCTGTCCTAAATTTCCATGCATTTTGGTCCTCTTACTTGAAACAAAACCAGTAAGAATAAACAGTACATGTTTTTTAAAAAGTCTTTGCTGTGAATGCAAATCCAACATACCCAAGATTTGAAATCAGACTGTATTTGTCTAAATCATCTAAGCAGCTGTCACCATGCAAAGTGCACTAAAAGATGAGAGTAACCTGCTGCAGCTACCACAGTATCTCTACTGTACACCCATATATACTGCCAAGAATAAAAACTATGCTGGGATTCCAGCAGCAACCATTCAAACTTTGATTCAGAAAAAGCAGGGTAAGAAGTGAGTTAAAGATTATTTCAGATAACCAAGAGGTGTCTCTGTTTATTCTACATCCCCCTTTCTCTCCTCTAAACAGCCAGGAGCCCTGCAGAGATGTACGGAAGTTACCACTGATGGACTGCTCCCTCACCACAGCCCTTCAATTCAACTTACTGTGGTATTAACGGCAGAGGAAAGGTGCGTTATCCAAAGGCATAAGACAGGTGAAAGCCGTATCACTATCTCTGCCATTCCCAAACACTGACAAACCCCACATTCCAACATACCAAACCCTTCTACTGACCTGTCAATCTCTTCTCACCAACTGCTGTTTATTCAACTCAGGGTGGTATCTGTGAGAGTGACTGACAGTTTTCATATTTCAGCAGTGACAGAAAAACAAGTGGGGCTAAACAACCCTGTGTGGCTGCTGCTCCACAGAAGTGTGCAGCATTAACAGACTGATTTTTCTGCCTTTCACAATTGGCAGAAGTATCAGTATCTTACTACTTAGAAACGCAAGACTGTAGCCCAGGAATCACATGATTCAGGATTACAATTCCAAAAGTCCTTTTCTAAAGCCCTAGCACATACAACTACACATAAAACCAGAAACAGTATTCCTTATTGCTGCATAAACTGAACCCACCAAAGCCACTGGTATTTTTAGAGGGCCAGTCTGAAGCACTGGGGCCTTGGCTTTAGGACTGTCTCAAAGACAGGTTGGCTTCGTAAAGTCCAAGGTACCAGGGATCTAGGAGGAGTGTAGACCACGTTTCCGTTAAAAAGTTTGAGTTCAACTAAAGGTACACAAAGACCACATTTGACAAAAAAAAAAAAAAAGGGGAAAAAAGAAAAAAAAGAGAAAACTCGCACCCACTTGTCTTTATCACGGGAGTTTCCCGGGCCTCAAACAAATCCAAGGCTGTTTTCTGCCTCTCAGTTTCTCCCCTCCTCCCTCCCGCAGCTTCCTACCAGCTGAGACTCTGCAGCTGCAGCAACAACAGCCTGTCTGTGACAGCGTAACCACCACCGCGGGCTGGTTCCTACTAATTCACTAGCTTCCTTATGTTTTAACAGAGGTAGCAAATTGTGAAGGGGCTTCCCCCCCCCCCTTTTTTTATTTAACTGAAAAGACGCTGATGAATATTCATTGCTAGTCCTTCACCAAGGGCGTGGGCTTTATTTAAAGGACTGGAAGGGACCTTCAAGTTAGGGTAATACGATGGGAGATTTCTGATTCAGTTCTCTGGTCCCAAAATACATCTAAAGACTACGATTTTTTTCGCAGAAAACAGACTACATGATAGTAAAAAATAAGCCTCTCTGCCAGAAGCCCCCCAGCTTCTCACACCGGTGGCTCCGCTGGCTACCGCGGCACCCACTGCAGGGGCTCGCACTAGGGCTCCCTGGTTGACAGGGTCGCCGGCGATGTATCGGGCTTTTGAGACAACAGTTCACCGCTGCGGGTTTCCTCCCTACATGTTTAAGGCCAGCACCCGGCAGGCCGCATTCTGAGCCCGGACTTACAACACACACACCCCGCTCTGGAAGAGCGAAGAGACAAGCGAGCCCTGTCACACCTCCTGGGTCGAGCGCAGACGGTCCCCGAACAACACCCCCCGGAAAGTCCCGCCACGGCCGGGGGGCGGCTCCGGACGCACCCGCACACACACACCCGCACCACTGGACGTGCGCACCCGCACGCACACCCGCAGACAGGCGCACACGTGCGCGCACACCCCCCCTGCCCGGGGAACCGCCGGTTCCGCTCCCCCCGTCCTTGCCCCCGCTGCTGCGGGGGCACACGGGCGGTCCCGCACTCACTTTCGTCCTGCCGTTGATTTTGTAGTTGCCCAGCTTGCCGTTGCAGTGTCGGATGAGATCGTCCATGCTGTTCATGAGGAGCCGGATGGCCTGGCAGCCCGGCTCCTTGCCCTCCACCCAGGTGATCTTGTCGCCGCGGATGTCCTTGGAGGAGTCGCTCTTCTGGCTGACGAGCTGCCCGTCGGTGAAGCGGCCGGTGTGGTGCAGCGCCCGCACCTCCTCGGCCACCAGCCCGCCCAGCTCCTTGCCGAGGAAGTCGTCCACCACGCAGATGCCGTGCTTGTTCATGCAGGGCACGATGTACTCCAGCGCCAGCCGCTGCGGCACCAGCGACTTCGTCTGCCCATTGGGGCGCAGCGCTGCCCCGCCGGGCCCTGCCTGCACGCCGCCCGGGTACAGGTTCGACTTGTCCCGGTACAGCAGCACCGCCTCCCCGGAGGGCGAAGGGGACTGGGCCGCGGCCGGGGCTTCCACCTCACCAGTGGCGGCTGCGGCGGCGGCAACATGGTTGTTGGCTAGCGGGGCGGCCTCGGCGGCGGCCTCCGGCAACGGCAACACTGCGCCCTTCCCCGCCGCAGCTCCGGCCCCCGCCCGGCTGCCGCCTCCCGCCGTGGCCCCGGCGCTGTGGGCGCGGGTCGGCGGGGGATGCCCGCCGCGGGGCTCGGCAGCGCCCCCTGCTGCGGCTGCCGCTGTGCCTCCGCCGCGGCAGATGAGCTTGTGCTTCTTCCAGTCCTGGCGCTGGTGCTCCTTGCTGCAGTAGAAAGAGCTGCGGCAGCGCCCGCACCGTAGCAGGTTCTCCATCTTCCCGCACAGCTCGCAGTACTGCCGGTCCCGCTCGCTGCTGTTACTGCCGTTACTGCCGCTACCGCCGCCGCTGCTGCTGCTCTCGCCACCGCCCTGGCCGGCGCCGCCGCCGCTGTCATTAGCCATGGCGCTGGTGGTGCCGCCGCAGCCCCGCTCCGCCGCCGAGGGGTTATGTAAGGAGGCGGGCGGGAGCGGCGCTAACGCGGGCCCCCGCCCGGCCGCGCGGGGAGGGAGCGCTCACTGCATCATGGCCGCCCGGCTCCGCCGCGGCCCCCGCCGCCCTCCGCCTCCGCCGGCCCGCGGCCTCCTTCGGGCGGCCGGGCGCGGGGTTGCCGCGGGGGCCCTCGCCGCCCTCCCTGCGCCTCTAACGCCGCTAGCGCCGCCTCATCGCCGCCCCGGCGGCGGCGGCTCGGCCTGAGGGGAGAGAGCGGCGGCGGCGGGCAGCCGGCTGGCACGGTGGGGGGCCTGCTTCCGCTCCCCTCCGGCCTCTAAGCCCTGTGCGCGGGCCGGCGCGGCCGCCGCCTCTCCCCACCGCGCCTCCACCGCTGTGTCGGGCCGAGGAGGAGGTGCCACTCTCGCGGCCCGCTTTGCACGTACGCCACTTCCAGCCCGCCAGCGCTGGCGGCGCGTCAGGCGGGCGGGGCCGCGCCGCGAGGCGGGCGGGGCCGGGCCGGGCTGCACCGCACCGCGCAGAGCCGGGGAAGGCCGCGGCGTGCTGAGGGGCCGGTCTGCGGCTCCGCACCGCAGCAAACGCGGAACCCGGCTCCGAGCACACGGACAGGCTTCAGGCTGTGACCAGGCGGCCTCTACTGGGGAGACCTCGGTTCGGCGGGAGGGCGGCCGGGCGGAAACAGCCACCGAGCAGTGGGGCCTCCCGGGCTGCCGCGGACCCACGCCGCCAGGGACGGGGAGAAGCTTTGCTGAGGGGAGTGGGAGGTCATCGATCTCGGCTGCCTGAGACATCCCCGGCGTCCCCGCGCGAGCTGTGGGTCGCTAATCCGTGGGTGCCCTTGACCCTGTCGCCAGTGTTGAGCTGTCCCCCGGGTGAGCGCAGGGATGCGGGCCCGCTGCAGGTGAGGCACGGCACCGAAGAGCAGGAGGGCGCCGGGCTGACATGGATGCTGGGTGTGTGGTCTGGAGCAACGGAGGGTGTCGGCGCACCCGGCCACAATGGAGGGCTAGAGTTAGTCACTTCCATAGGCCCCAAAATATCCCCGCCAGATGGCTGACGAAGTGGGACGAGCCCTGGTTCCCTCATAAATAACCTGGGGCTTGTGTCCCACCTAACTTTGTAATGAAAGCCAGAGTCAGGCCAGTTGAAAAAGCAAAAAGGATGAAGAAGGAGCAGGTGAGGTGGCCACTGAAACGAGGAAAGGCCAGGACTTGGAGCCAGTGCTGTGATCAACATGGCAAAGTCCCTGACAGGAAAAAGGAAGCTGGTTTTGGCAGAGCAGTGCTGGTGGAGAGACAAAGGTCCCAGCGCAGTCACGTCAGCTGTCAGAAGCTGTCTGAGGATCTGGGCTCTTCTGAGGTGATACGTAATTTCCAGCCGATCCTGAAATCATGTTTTAGCTTGCTTGTGATAGATGTTAGGGAAGTGGAGTGCATTGTGCAATTTGCCGTGATGCAGAGCAATATGGTGGTCGGTGCCTTGGAGCCACGTGGTAAACTGGAGCAAGGTTCTGCCCCCCCCTTGGAAAGCCATTTGGTGAACAGACAGCAAGTGTTGGCTCCGTGGGTTGGGCTGACGAGAGGCAGTGGCTGCAGCTGGTGTGTACTGCCTGTAAGTTAAGCAAATCATGAAGTCCAAGGAGTGTCAAATACTTGATCCAGTATACACTTGTGAGGACAGAAAGGTGAAAGCAATCTTCTGGGTGGTAACCCATAGGCTGAAGCAGGGTTTTGTGTGATTCTAGATAAATCAGTTTTTAATTTGTCACTATAGAAGAAGAAGAGTAATGCTTTTGCTCCTCCCAGGCTGGTGTGAGGCTTAGGACTGTAATATACTTGTGTTATAGTGAGATGGCTTTATGTACACAGCTAAAATGGTTTGGTTCTTATCATCTCTGCATAGAATTGGATTTAAAATAAACTGACATAGCGATAGGACTTGGAGGAATGTTAGGCACTGCATGTACTATGTGAAGGATGTAAAAGGAGAAACAAAGGGTGCCAATGCTACAAATGCATGTGGTACAGGCAGAAAATGAGAAGGAAGACCAGGATGAGTTATTAGACAAAAGGAGTACTAAGAGGACAAGGTCATGAAAGCCCAAAGGATGAGATTTCAAGGTGAACGTGATCAGCAAGCTCCAAGGATGCATTAAAAAAACACACACACACAAAAAAATGAACTGGAAAAGCTGGGAACTAAAACCCAATAGAGTTGCAGTTTAGTAATTTCTCTGTTTATTGCTCTTGGAGGAAAATACAGCAGTAGAAGCAGAAGGAGGTGAGTTAAAAACAAGTTTTAAGCCCAGAGCATGAAGTGGACAGATTTTTAATCTAAATTTAATGAGAGTTGTTCTTTAACTATAGGTAGATGAGGTATGTCAGAAATAGCTAGGCATCTCTCCAACTTGCTTTAAACTGATACAAATGCAACTGAATTCCTTGGACTTTCAGCATTGTTAAACTGGGCTAAATGAGAAGAGAGTTATTTTCACAAACTTCAGAAATGCAAACAATAACTTCCTGCCACAAAGAAACTGAAGAGTTAAAGACTTTTCGCATTCGATGCATATTCCTTCAGCAAACATAGCGGAGATGAAGGTCACAGACTTGAAACTCAATAATCCAGCTACGGAACAAATAAGAAAAGCACCAAGGTACAAATATGGTGCCTGGCTAAATCCTAATGATAGTTATTAATTCATGGGCTGATTTGGCTTCAAAAGTCTTTTGTTCTTTCCCTCTCTTTCCCACATGTCATTTGGGATACAATTAATGGTCTTGGTCTCAGCTTTTACTAAGTTTTAAGTTCTGCTAATGTGCTGAGCTACTTCAGGTTGTCTTGACAGACTGTTCCCCAGTGTGGTCAACAATTACCGAGTTCAACAAAACCCATCTTCAGGTATATGAAGCATATATTTTATGATTGCAGCACTTTGCCTGCAGCACAAAACAATTTAATGAAGGTTGTGGCCCAGCAACAAAGCTGCAGAAAAGAGACAAAGCTGCAGAAGAGTGGTGGTGGTAAGGAAACTCTGGAAGACAATGACTATTTATATTACAATATTGTCTACAACATGCAAGAAATGTTTTCCAAGCATATAAAGACTCTATTCATTAACAAAGAGTTTGTTCCTTAGCATACAGCGTAAGGACAAAGCACCACAAAAAAGCGACATATGGTATACAAAACAAAATGACCACCATGATCGTTGCCAAAACTGAGGGGGAAGGGACTTCCTCCTCTTTCTTCTCTAGTTACTCTTCACTTGCTAACGTAGTATTTCCAAGATAGCCAGTTCCTTGTCTGTGTCAGTGAATGTTGGAAAAGGACTTGACTGGTGACTAGGTAATGATGGAACAGATTGCTTTGCAAAAGAGTGCACATGGAAAGTCTTCAAAGTAATACCAGTCACGATGAGGATGTTGTGGAATAAATTTAATGCAAGGTCATAGTTTTTTGTCACCACTTAGATATGGATCTGATCTGTTTATTAGAATTAAAAAAAAAAAAGGTTGGTCAATGAATAACTTTCCTGTTTTCATTAAGCAGTAATAATGGCTGCATTTATACCATGTGTTGTGTATTTCATGTACTGCAGCAGTAAGGTTGTATAAGCAACCAAAAAATAATCTTTGAAGCCCGAGGAGAAGGGGGAATGCAGGATAACAAGAGTAGTTTGTTTCACAGAACAAAATTAGCCTAGAAATTAAATAAAAAGTCTTATCCTCAGATAGTTTAGAACAGGAAAAAAGTCCCTGGGATTCCAAGCTCAGTTTTTCACTGCTGCCAGAAGGCCCTTGGAAGCTACACATGCTCCTGAGGTTGGTGGAAGTGTAAAGCCTCAGTCAGAGAGTTGTGTGTCCAGAGCAGCACCACAAAATTCAAAACTTGGGGGCTTGTAGCATTTGCTCTCCCCCCCCCCCCCCCCCCCCCCCGACCCCACTCTACTGTGTTCTTCAGCCTGACTGCTCTTACTCTGCTTAAACCATTATTCATGATCTCGGTGACATTTTTCAAGCTTGCTTTTCATACTAGCAAGTGAACTGTAACAGGTTTGCAGCTTTTCCAAATAAAACTAGAGAACTGGTTTGTGTGAGTTGCATTCTCTGTTGAACTCACTTCCTTTCTAATCAGGACAAACTGTACAAAGTACATCCACAAGGCTATGCAAATGCTCCTTTGTTGAATGCATGCTCTTTTCCTGAGGTGCAGAAAGGGTCATTGTCTCCCAGATCATCTCCCAGATACCTCCCCTGCCACTGTAGCTGCAAAAGGAGGAAAGGGTCACCCAGTAGAGGTGATTAGGAAGATGCAGAGATTGACTGGCTCTGCTAGCGCCACCATGACAGAGCGCATGACCCAGGGAGCACATGACCCAAGGTCTTGTCAAGTCCCTCTGTGGCCAGGACGAGCTGAATCCCAGCAGTTTTCAAGATCGAGGCTTCGGGTCTCTGCTGTGCCAAGAGCTTGATACTCTCCCTGTCACAGCATGAAGTGGCACACAGCCCTCAGGACAATCAGGCTCAGAGCCCTGAAACTAATCCCCAGTACCCTGGATCTCCTCCTATCCCACTTAGTGCTTGTTGATGCTGTTGTGGAGTTGCCCTAAAAGTTTTTGCTGAAATTACAATAATAGAATAATTTGGTGGTTTATCACTGAATATCATAATGGTGTAGTGTTTACAGAAAAAAAAAACACCTTTCATTATAATCTGAGATTATAAGGGTTGGGCTAAATTATAAAGAGAAGTATTCTCAATTACTTTGTGTAAACTTGTGTTTAATATTATGTTTAATATTGTGGGATTCCTCCAGGCTCTTCAACTAAAGTTGTTTTTGCTGTCCCTAAATCTGTCTGAAATTATATGCATTTGCTTCTCTGGGAATATAGCCTATTTTTATTACACCAAAAATATGGTTGGGGTTGATCCAGAGAGATTTGCACATTAAAATGTTTAACTACTTTCATGAGTATTATGTTAAGGAAAAAATGAATTATGCTAGTGAAGTACAAGACAATGTCCTTTTATTCTATTTAAGTGAAAATGCTGCTACCAGATGTCCGTATCTGTAAAGCGATGGAAATGTAGCCCAGCTTAGAAAATGCTCCTAACTGACTCATTCCAGTTTTGTCCTCATTTTAAACTTTGTACCATGGAAAGTTCAAAAGCTTTTTCCACATTGATTGTGAGGTTTCTCCAGAGGGAGTATTTCTGGCTTTGGTTACAAGAGAACTCCCTCTCTTGCTAAAGATTGTCAATTATGTACATTTTTGGCCTCTAGCTTAAGCAAGCCAGGAGGCCCTCAGGGTGCTTAAAGTCCAGCTATGGACAGAAAGTTGTTTTTAAAGAACACTATTTGGAATCCACATACTGACACGGTGATAAGCACTTTTTGGAAGAAAAAAAAAAAGAGATTTTCGTCTGTATGTACCTCAAATTTGTCTGAACCGCTCCAGAACTGCACTCGGTTTCAGTGCAGACAAGTCTTCTAGCATGAGAACAAGAGACTCAAATATAAAGAAAGTCTCTCCAGTGCTTTGCAGGGCCATAATCATAACATGACCTTTTCACTTTGCATCTGATATGTACTTCCTGCCCCTGTGTCATCATGATTCAGCATTTTGACATGCTGAAAGATCATCAAGGTGGAAACAATGCCGAGCAGTGTTAAGATGGTGTGGCCTGCCATGATTATTTTGCACGTACCTGATGCATTGCACATCGTATTTTCTCTTTCCTGGTCTTTCAGCTGCCAGGCACGTAGTGCTCTCCTCTGTCAGTGCCTGTCCTTGTATTCAGGAAAGAAAACAGCCCTGGACCGTGGGCAAGAAGGACAGTTTACTCTGTGTTCCTTGGTTTGGGAAGCTTGAGAGCACCTCAGCTTATGCATTACAATATATCCAGCTATTTAATGAGTTACAGTCTCAACTTTTTTCTTCCTCAGAACCTAGAAACTGTTACCCGGAGCTCAAGAACTGTCCCTGACGCCATAAAGATGTATCCATTAGAAGACTGGACATTTTATCTCTGGGTGAAGTAGTTTCTTTTGCATCTCTTCAGTTGACTAGCACAATTTCTGGTATCACTAAATTCCTTTTCTCATTGAGGCAGTTTTACCAGTAAAAGAGATTGTAAGAGGACAGTGAGCTTAAAACATTTGCTGCTATGAAACAAGAAACCTGCCACAGTAATTTAAGAGAGGAAGGAAAAGGTAATAGTGGGGGAGTTTTGGAGCTGATAAAAGCCACCAGGTGTCATTCATCAGTAATACTTTTTTTTTTTTTTTTTTGATGAGGCAATTTCTGGAGAAGAATGGGTGCAGGCTTCATTTTTGTTTGTTTTCCTAGTGAACAATGGTGGCCTCCCCTTTTCTTGAACAATAGGGGTACAATACTGCAGTTCACGTTTTGTTAAACTATCAAGATAGCACATCTGTCCTGAAGAGCTCACCTTTGCCAGGCCTGGCTACAGGCACACACAAGCATTGTGAGCCTGAACCCTGAAGAGCCACTGCAATCTAGGTGGACTCAGTGTAGCTCAGCACCGTGTTCTGCACTCCCCGTTCCCCTTTCTGCCAGGGCAGTACCTGTGTGTTCCCATGCACCCCTCTGATGCCTATCAAGGTGCAACATCCCATTGCTCTCCTGCCATTGCCCCCCTCAGTGTTTCCCTCATCACAAGGGCTTTGTGATGCCTTTTCTTGCATTCCTATTGTTATCTAAGTCACAGGCTTTTACTCCATACCCTTCTGTTTGGTTCTTGTGCTTTCTGCAACACTTTCTTTGGTTGTGCTGCATTTAAGTCACAGTGTTGTGTTGCTGGCCACCAGTAGGGGTGGTTCGGCTCCCTCCAGCACCATGCTCCTTAGCACCACGCTTCTCAAACCCTTTGGTGAGTCAGTTCAAGAGAATAGTTTTCTGTTGGATTAACAAGTTGGATTGGCTTACTTAGTGGTTTGATGTGGTGCAAGAGAGGGTGTGGACCAGCCGGGCCAGGAGTCAGGGAGGAAAAAGCAGGACCACCCAAGTCAGGACGGTAAGCTGACTCAGTCATGTCATGTAACTTCAGCCACATTTACCTCATATTATATAACTTGACCCAATTCTACTTTCTCCCTAACTGAGAGAGAAGTCTTTCCTTTCAAATCTGTATTAAGAGAATTAGCAGATCCAAAGTGCAGGATATTCTATACCAAGCTAGGATAATGCCTACCATCACCTGATTCTGGCATTTAAGGATATGAGGAAAGGAGGTTTAGTTTATTGACTCTGAACAGCATGCAAGGGACTCACATTTGTAAGTTGTTGGGGTTTTTTTCTTTCCAGTTTTTAGAATTGAAAAGGTTCTGTCTGTTGGTCAAAATAGTTCTTAAGATTTTAGAAGTGAACAAATGTCTTACTAAAAATCGTGGTATCGCTGCACACTCATTATAATGGTGTTCTGTGTCTTCTTGTTTCCTCCACTAACAAGTACCTCTCTCTGTGCAAATACTCTAATACTAGAGTAAAATATTTCAGCATCTTATAAAGCACTTCCCAAGCAACTTCTACCGAGGACAGATATTTACTGAACCAGGAATGCTAGCAGTGGATATATAATAATTTAAATTCCTGTATTAGTATGACTGAATTGTGTGTTCCACCTGCATGATCTGAACTGACACTATTGGTTTCATGTACTTTGATGGATATTCAGATGGCACAACACTGTTAATGAATCCAGTAAAACATAATGCTGGAATTGTACGCTGGAGAGCTTTCACAAAACACTACCTAAATATTAGGTCCTGGAAAATTAAACTTACCAGAAGTTCATGCAAGCACAAAGCTAAATACAAATTATTAACATCTTTGGTGTGTTCTTTGAGTGATAGTACGTGCTACAGAGCTGTAATTAGGGCTGGGTTGCGTGAGTCTTGCTATCATGCTGCATCAACTTGTCACTGTTAGAACTGCTACCCCTGAACCTGTTCCTTGCTCACCCAGCCAGCTAATTAGTGACCTAGTGATAAGGTGGCATTTATTAGTACTAGAAGAAATTGCCTTTCATTTTTATGCAGAAGCAAAAAACAGGTCAGCAAGCAATTTACACATTCTTCATCCACCCACAGTGCAATGGACAATTATAATGCTTATCTTGTCAGGAGGTGGATTTCACTTTTTTCCCTTACTGTTTCATTAGGCTTACATTTTCTCCCTGGCATTATTCTCTATCTTTTAGTTGTTATTGGTTGGTTGTGTCTTTTTTTGTTGTTGTTGGTTGGTTTGTTGGTTTGGGGGGGGAGGGGAGGGTCTAATCTCGGACTGTGTCTAGTGCTAGGACCCTGTTCAGGAGTTTTCATTAAAAAAACAGATTCCTGAAAGGGTTCCTCAGTTTACAGTTTCCTCACTGTGTTGTAGAGTTTGAACTGGAGGAAGGGATAGTCAGAGAACAGATGACTCTGTCCTCACCTATTTACCAAATGGTACACGTTGTTGAAATTTGGATGGGAGGTGATGCTCCTGCCTTGTGCAAACATACCCTCC